CTGCACTGGGTGCCGTCTCTGTAGACTCAGCAGTCTGGGAAAATGGGGCTGTCACTTTAAGAGGCACTGACCAGGCCCATGGAATGCAGGCTGGTGTCTGGGGCTCTGTCTGGCTCTGCCTAGACACACAAGCCTCTGTCCTTTGGGATCCTCCCCCACCCCCACCCCCCTTGGCTGGCATCTGTGGCTTGAACCATATTGAAAATATAAGCAGAATAGTAACTGGCAGGCAGCATCCAGCCAGGCATATTGCCTAGAAATACAGATAGCCATCTGAGATGGTGGCGCCCAGGGCACTTGGCTTGCATTTTATCCGGAAGCATCGGGGAGGGAACCAACCCTCAGAGAGCAGCTAAGTCCCCTCCTTGTAACCCAGAAGTTGACATTTGAGGCATACCTAGGAAGCCTACCCTGCCCCATCACCTCCTGGAAACTCTGTGACTGCAGTCCACTGTGTTCCTGCTGCCTGGCCTGACTTCCTGTATGCTCAGGATGGCACAGGGCATAGCCTTCTCTGGCTAAGGGGTTAGGGGATGTCACATGGAGGCTGGATGCTTGCGGGTCCTCTAAAAGCGTTTCTTTAACCTCAGTATGTAGGAGACAGGGCAGGCGGATCTCTACATTCCAAGCCAGCCTGGTGTATATAACAAATTCCAGGCCAGTCATGGCTACACGGTGAGACCCTAACTTGAGAAAATAAAAAGAATCAAAGGTACATCCCCACATTGTACTCATAGGCATAGTCAGGAGAAAGCCAATGGATGAAGGCAACAGGACCAGGCCAGTGCCCTGCTCCTGGGGTCTGGTTGAAGAGAAGTGCTGGTAGTCTAGGAAGGGTGTGACGGCCAAGTCCAGGCAATCATGGCTTTGCACACTCTGTGAGTCTCTGATAGCACAATGTCTAGGTTTCGTCTCCGACAGTGGAGAGAAGATTTGGTGTGTTTCACAGAGTGGCCCTGGAAGGCCAGGGATGGTGTGGAAGGCTAGGAGCCCTGAGTAACAGCAATGAGGCATAAGTGCTGAGCCTTGGACAGCAGTGGGAGAACAGAGAGACTTACTTGGTTAGCCGGGGATAGACGGATAGGATGCTAGATGAGTCCTACAGAGGTGGGCAGGGCGGAGCCCCCTACTGCACCCTGGCAAGGGACATAAGGCCCGGCAAACCAGCAGGCTGACTTTGGGAACATGAACTGCGGGAGAGGCTCGTTCCCAGAGGCAAAAAGATGGTGGCGCAGTTCGGGGGACCTCGGGGATAAGAGGGTGATGAAGGACTGACAAGAGAGTGCTGGGGACATCACCGTTCAGAGTCATTAGAGGAGTAAAGTGTCACAGCGAGATGTTACACACCCAACAACTAGTCTGAGTTACCCGATTATCAACCCCCTGAGGCCTTACTATGGGTCTCTCTCTCTCTCTCTCTCTCTCTCTCTCTCTCTCTCTCTCCACTTCGCTGTCACCATATGTTGGGAGATTCCAGCAAACCCCCCGGGGGAGAGCGTTATAAACATGAGAACCTCTAAGGGCTGCTTTCTCTCTAACCTGGAGAAGGAAACCCTCGACCTCCCAGCTCACTCTACTGTTGCTTTGCCACCTATAGGACCTGGGCCTTGAAGGGAACCTCCTCACTGACATCCTCTACAGAAACGTGACTTTCCTTAACCTGGTGGACCCCATCTCCCATGACCTGCTGGTGAACCTGGCCCGGGACCTGCAGTGCCCCAAGAAGGTAAGGCCAGCTGGCACAGGCCCCAGGGACATCGGGTTCTCATGCTTGCTGGGTGGCCTTAGGAAGGCCACTATCCCTCTTACAAGAACAGCTTCAGGAGCAGGTGTGAACTGCTTTGCTGATCCCCCAAACCATGTTCGTAGCTAAACCTGTTTCTCCCCAGGCTGTGTACCCCCATCTGGGCAGATGCCCTACAGGGACGTAGAACACAACCTGTCTTAACACAGCTATGATTAGAACCATATACTCTTACTCCTGGGTCAGAAGAGAGCCACCCTAGTCTGAAGCCCCTTGGTCTCTATCCTACCTGGACACCTTTGGGGACGGGGATTCACTGAATCCCTTCCAACGCTACTTCAGTCACAAACAAGCCCAACCCCATACTACTTGCTGCCCACTGTGAACAGGGACACGGCACTGGCCTGTATGTCTGTGGTCAGCCACCAGTCCCCAAGAATCTTGAACACAATGAAGCCCCCTCCCCTATGAAATAAAGGGGTCCACTGTAGGGTCTATCAGCTCTGAAGCCCACACATGTACTCAGCTGTCTGGTCCACAGCCATCCCTGCAGCCACCTAATCTGCTGTCACTGTGTATTGCATGCCCGGGGTGTGTGTGTGTGTGTG